TATTTGGTTGACCTAATCCATGTTTATGAACCTTCGAGGTACCTTCGATCATCTGCAGACAAGTGGCGTCTTGTTATTAAACCCTATAACTTAAAGACATACGGTTTCAGGGCTTTTTCAGTCATTGCCCCTATACTCTGGAACGATTTGCCTATTGACATTAGATCGATCGATAATGTAAATAAGTTTAAATCTAAATTGAAGACCTTTCTTTTTAAACGAGTTTATGAACTATCTTAGGTTTTTTATTTTGTATTTTTGTGACTATGTATATATATATGTAATGATTTTAAGATATTTATTTTTTATTTAGACCTTTTTGAAGTGTTGTAAAGCGCTTAGCACTGAAAAGTATAAGCGCTATATAAATATTTTATTATTATTATTATTTTTTTATCAAACTTCATAAAGTTCCAGTGATTTATGAAATTTATGAAATATCCGTCTTTAAGGCATGGTCACATGTCAAAAGGATTAATACTTCTGGCCCAGATGACTAGTGCCCTTTTGGTCTTGGAAGTAGCTAGGAACACACACCCGTGTGTGATAATACATATTTTCAATGTTCCCTTCGCTACACTGCAGGTAAGCTATTCCCAAGGAGACAAATATTTCTTTTTGCATCAACTCAGGACCGATATCAGTTTAGTGCTGGATTTTTAACTGAGCCGTTTGGTTGTGAAGAGTTAGCCAGAGGTTCTATCCTTGTAACCATTCCGCAAATGGAACTTCTTAGTGAATGCTTTCGTACAGTATCATCTTTTCTTTTAACATTTTAGAAAATAGAATAGATCAATTTCAATATAATAAAATGCTCAATTGGCTCCGAGGCTTAGGGGAATAAAACGAAATCATCTTGAGGAGGCTGAGCAATGAATAATTCATTTGTAATTTCCCCAAGCATCGCAGCCAAGTATGAATTTTGATATATCGCAATAGAGAGGAGAAGTCGTTACGTCACGTTGCCATGGTTGCGAAATTTTTGGATGACAACAAACCGAAAATTCACTTAAAAAGTAAATTCGCACTGTTTCAAACTTAATCGATCTTATTCAATTTCATTTAATTTGTCAAATGTCGGCGAAATTATACTGGTTTTAATTCGAAAGGACCGTATCTAAGTTTAGAAAAAGAAAAAGAAACTTTTTGTCTTGTGTTCACATACTCCTTAAAGCGGGCGCGTGAAATTAGAAAATTTCATGTGGCATTCGTGCAACGACGGCTACAAAATGTACAAAAAAATTCAGCGTGATGCTCGTGCAAAGTTGCTGTTTTGTTAACTAGACGTATCGGTTTTTTTTTGTCTTTCTCGTTACTGTCGCCGTAGTCGTTGCTTAATCTCGGCCCTATCGTTGTCATCCAGAAATTTGGCTACCACGGTAACTTGACGTCACCCTTCTCCTTTCTATTGGTACCATTAAATTCTAGCCACTTTTAGCAGGAAGGAAAGGGTATAAGGCCTAGATGCCAGTCACTGATCATCTATCGCTGGCAAATGTTAGCTCTCGTTTTCTATAATCTCCTCACGGTGGCCAACCACCTTACTAACGATAACGATGAACATGATTTTCACCTGCTTTGTCTATTTGAAAATCTGTCGTAACAAAGGAACAAAGAGAGTAACCGAACATCAGCAGGGTATGAAAATAACTATGTGTATCAGAATGGCTGGTGATTTTTGGCCCAGCACGGAAGTCTAAATCACACTTACATGGGAAGCAATGGTCCCATTACCTCCCACAATGTCTGTTGTTCACCTTCATCGACTGTCCTAATTAATAAAGCCCCTTCTGACGCAGCACTACGGGCGCTACATGCTTCAAGAAGCCTCACCTGGTCAAAACGATAATAAATATACAAAAAACGTATGAAATTCACTAGTAATTTAGTCACTGTCACTTACAATTATAAAGTTTCATATATCGATAATAAAAAAAAAGAGCGGTACCGACTTATCAAAACACTTAATTTAATTTTCAAACAGTTGCTGCTGGTACCTGTTCATTAAATAAATATTCTTACAAGATTCAATAATATGTCTGATTGCTAAAAAAAACTGCAGTTATAATGATCAGCTTCTTGTTTTTATACTTACTTCAACTGAAGATTACTCCGAAGATTTATTTTTTCTTTATAAATGGGCTACTTTTCATCCGAAGGGTCGTCATTAGTGTGATACTATCTCCATAAAAAAACAGTGTCAGCAGGGAAAATTTTTGTAATTCACCAACATTCTATTTTTTTAATAGTCTGCCCTTAGTTATTCCAGTTGCAAGTTGGATAATACGTTTCGTCTTTAATTAAAGGCATAAAGTCCAATCACTTTGGTTTGAAACCTCTCGTACATGAAAAAGAATTTTACCAGTAACAATTTTAAAAGTAGTTTGGTCTATCTATTAAAAAAAAGCGTTTACATTAATAAAACATAGTAGAATTCAAACACAAACTCTGATTTCTAGTTTGAAAAGAAAATCTGTGTCAAGCGTAATTACATATAAAATTGAAACCGTGCCAATCGTATATTTCTTAGACCAAAAAATAGTTCAAAACTGATCGAGCACACGTAGAAAAAACATGGAAAACGCTGCAGACCTCTCCTCTGGAAGAATATTACAAGTACTGTGAGGGATTAATGAAGGCATATTTAAATTCAAGATTTATCTTACATTTTTTGTTCAGTGGTATTTCTATAATGAAAAGCGTTAAATCGATATTTTAGTGTATTCGATTTAAACTGCGTGGAAATGACTCATGATTATTTGTGTCTGGAAATTCATCCACCTGCATTGTTTACCAGCTTTGTCTAAGCAGGGTGGAACCACAAATACTTTACAAAATGAGGAACAAACCAATCATACTTGGATATCAAATACATTGTAATTTGGGCGCGACAACCGGCAAGCAACTCTTCTAAGCTGTCATAGGGCAGTGGAGCTAAACCAAACAAAACTGATTGTATATTTGTGGCATAGAAACAAGGCTTAGCAGAATCTCTCTTGTTGGCCAAACGAAGTTTTTGTGAAAAAAAAAAGCAGTCAATGGCAAATTATGTACGTCCGAACAAGGAAGAGCCCTTTTAAGAGGAAAACGTTTGACTGCTTCCAAGCCGCAAAACGTGGGCTGAACTTGTAACATAGCGGTATCCAATAATTACATAGTTCATCACCTGCGTGGCATAATTAAGAAGACTCAATTCCAAGTAACTTTTTTTGATTTGATGGCTCCTTAAGGAAGAGAAGATATAACTTCTATAGGGGAAGATAATTAATCAAAATTTTCATACAACACTTCAATTACCTAACCAGATCAAACAGCCAAAACAGACAGAAAATGCGTGGTACGTTTTGGGAAATTGTATTTCATTTGTTTATACATTTCGGATTTTACGCAAGTGCACAGTGGAAGAATTTTATCGAAATCAACGTTCCTGAAGGGAAGCCCGCACCATACACAGTTTATGACGTGCTTCCACTGCCTACTGGTAGAGACAGATATTCACTGCTGTACGCTCAAAAAGGCGATTCGCTCGACAAAGTTGGGCTGTTCAAGGTCTCACCTTCCGGCGTCATAACAACGGTTCAACCGCTCATTTACGAGAAAGGAAAACCGAATAAGTATGACTTAACAATCGTGAAAAGACCAATCAAAGAGACAGATGGTGGACTTGCCACGACTGTACGGGTAACAGTACAGGATATAAATAACTTTACACCATTGTTCGCTTTTCAATTATACAACGGAACCATTAAAGAAAATTCACCTGCGGATACGACTGTTATGGGTTTGGAGAATTGCTACGCTGAGGATCGTGATTCTTCTGGAGTAAGAGCTTATAAAATCATCAGAGGGAATGAGAAGGGGTATTTTAAGGCAGAAAAGCGTAAAGTGGGGGAGAAAAGTTTCTTGCAGTTGAAAGCAACAAGCAAGCCAATCAAACGAGGTAAAACCACGCCTTTAATGACCTTGACAGTAGAAGCTGAAGACATGGGAAACCCGCCATTAACCGCTCGCACGACGATTAGAATTCTGATTGAAGAGATGAACGACCATGCACCGGTTTTCGACAAAATCAGCTACGAGCGCGCTATAAGCGAAGATACGCCAACAATGACGCCGATTCTTAAAGTACAAGCAACAGACCAAGATGGAGGAGTGGATGGAGAAATTTATTATTTCTTTCAAACTCTGTCCAGCTTTTTCAATATTAATGTCTTCACGGGTGTTGTAATGCTCGTACGCGAATTGGACTATTCTCAAAGCGATCAGCGCTTGCATCAGTTGACAGTCGTTGCGCGTGATGCAGGAAATCCCAGCAAAGAGACCATAGCTTCTGTTATCATCACTGTACCTCTAGATATTCCTAACTTTCCATTTTCTGGGTCTTCGAGCTCCGATCAAGAAAACACAGTACCATTCTTTCTCTATGCTCCATATCATTTTACTATCCATACGTCATTTCCAGTAAAAGGAAGTCTTGGCGTCATCTTTGCCGCGGACAAGGATCCACCAGGCTCGAACAGTGACCTGCGATACTCACTACTCAGTGCCTCTAGTGTATTTGCCATCGATTTATTTAGTGGTGTTTTAACAGTGAGCGGGGGTCTTAATGTGCAGACATATACATTAACAGTGAAAGCTAAGGACCAGGGAAGCCCTTCAAAAGAAGCAGAAGCCCAGGTAAAGATTGTAGTTAAGGACTCAGGTAATTCCCAGGACTACCCTGTGTTCAGTGATCCTATACAAGTTCTTAGGGTAGCTGAAGATGTAGAAGTCGGTAGGTCAGTATTTCGAGCTTCGGTAATCTCCGACTCCAGCACTGGGAAAGGCGTCGTGTACTCGGCAATCTCTGGTTCGGCACTGCCATACTTTGAAGTTGACGAGGTTAATGGAGTGATGAGAACTGCTGCCCATCTGGACAGAGAAACACAAGCAACTTATGATATGATTATAGAGGCAAGAAACAAGGAGAAACTGCCACGTCACTCCTATCTTTACGTCACAATTGATATCACAGATGTAGACGATGCTTACCCGGACTTTAGCAAATCAGCTTATAACGCGGGGGTTCCCGAGGGGAGTCCTAAAGGGACGTTTGTCACTGTAATACATGCAATAGACAAAGATAACCAGGTGGTTGTATATGAAACATTAAATTACCGGTCAGAGTTTGAAATTGAATCTAACACTGGTGTGATAAGAACTAAGCGAGTTCTTGAACGAGCAACGGGTGACATAGAATTTCTTCTTTATGTTACTGCCAATGATGAAGATGGAAAAACATCTCAAGCGATTGTGAAAATCCAAGTTATCAGTTCCCCTGACTCAATTGCCAAGTTTTGGAAGCAGTCTTATGAAGTGTCCTTGAGAGAAGGACAGGGCCTGGTACCGAACTTGTTGTGTATCGCAGCCTCCGGCAGTAAAGGAAATGTTAAGTATTCAATGAAGTCTGGAGGAGACAGCAGATTTCAAATCGATCTTGTTACTGGTAAGTTTAAGACACAATATGCGATTGCTGTAATTTTGAACAAAACTCCATGCATCCGAAATGAATTTTAAAATTCACCTCTAAGTGAAAGACAAATTGCGCGTGTTGAAAAAAGGAACTATTCTACTGTTTTTATTGCTCCTCTTAATTTCTTCCACAAATTATTACTCTACTTTTTTGGTGCATTACTTTACCCTTTGCTATTGTCCTTAGTATTAAACTATGGTTGTGAACCTGATAATAGTCAATCCGGCCCAAATTCTATCTATCCATCCAGTTTATTACCATCGACTGAAGACACAATTCACCTTGAGCCTGAAAATGAACACGCACAGGTTTTCGCAGCTTTAGTCACTCTTACTAACAACAGTCCTATTCAGGACTACAGCCACCCGGATGATCATAATTATTTCGCTAACTTGTTACATGACTTAAGCTTCTGGTTTCAAACCATTTACTATGCTTAAATAAGTATAATTTTTTAATGTTCCAACAGGTTCGTTGTCAGTGAAAGACACTTTCTATTACAAGTTTGATCAAGGTGGTTATGTTGTTGAAGTAGGAGCACAGAGTCAGGGTTCTTCTCAAATTGAATACGTACCAGTAACAGTGAAGATCGAAAACGAAGATGAACCGCCGATTTTTCAGGAGGACAGTTATGAAGTTACAACTCTAGAAAATGTGGCCAAGGGAACCAAAATCCTCGTTAAGAACACTGAAGGGTTTCGTTTCTCGACGGATGATAAGCCCCTGGCTGATTTTGACTGCACACTAGAGGATATTACTGCTGTACAAATTCTTGATCATTTCCAAGTTGAACGCATGAACTCAGAATGCCAGCTAATAGCCATCAAGAACTTCACACAGGTTCCTCACCGAGAATTCAGATTTAAAGTCCGTGTAACAAACGTCAAACAACGAAACTTTTTTGGTTCTGCATCTGTGACGGTAAAAATAACAGACACTAATGACTACCCTCCTGAGTTTGAACAATCTGATTACTGGGTGTCTGTACCGAGCAGTACGCCCAAGGGAACAAGTTTGTTACGAATTGTTGCTACTGACAGGGACACCCAGGGGAGCGAAGGAATTGTGTTGGAACTCGAAGACGATAACAGCAGGTTTGTTTTTGTTTCGTCATCCTTTCTCTTTTACCACGTTTAAAGTTTTTACTTTTTTTAGTCGATAAGAACAGTATAGCTAATTGTGCCTTCTTTGAAAGATCGCTTTTGAAATTTAATCCACTAATTTCAAGCAAGGTAGATTTGATTTGCTAATTTGAAAAGTCATTTGATTTCTAACTGTTAAACAGGGCCATCCAACTACAATTTTTGGCAACATTCTAAATACTAAACGAAAACATTTTATGAAAAGGTTTCCATAACGTTTTTGGGTTTTTACAATGTTCCGCACTCAAGCGGTCTGGTAGCTCTCGGAACAAAGGTAAAAGGATCAGGTGAGAAAACAATAATCAAACAAAAGAAACAATGGACCCTAACCCGAGCCTGAATTTCATCCGATTACTTCCAGTCGTTATTACTCCCTTAACGTAACGTCTGAATCGACTGGCCGTTAATGTCGTCCAGTGACGTCACTCACTACCCGAAAACCGGGTAGTGATTTTGATTGGTTGATTGTCTAAACATTCGCATAATTATGTATAATTATGAAAAATTTTAGCGGGATTGTCGCTTGATATTCAGCGAATCGCATCCCTGGCATTCTTTCGAGTAGTTCAAACATTTCGATAAGCTTAATCTTTATCTTGAATAGCAAAATTACCCTTGTCTTCGAAACTGAAATGCTAAATCGAACTGCGATTGAAGGATCATTGCGGAGAGTCGGTAGGTTTTTCATTTAGAGCTGCTTTGTGGTTTCGGTGATTTTGTTTACGCGAAGTTCTCAAAGTTGTGATTCGACCTTCTTGCTATTTTCACCGTCAAGTGTAATGATTCTGTTAGCTTTTCTTTCTTGTTTCCTTTTTTTTTTTCCTTCGTTACGGACCAAATAGCTTCTTTCCAATTAAAGCAAATCATTGTGTTTTTGAACTAAGTGTTCCGTGTGTGTGTTTATTTCATTGCGTGATTGCGACCGAGTTTGATTATAGAATTCAGTACAACCGCGAGTTGTACTGCATGCAGTTGATACTTTGAACGTTGAACATGAATTACGATCGAAAAAAGTAAAGCAATTCTGTATCATGCAGACATTTCCAAACGGTTTGCCACTTGAAAATCGTGTTTTACCTTTTGTATGAATTAAAGCAAAGGTCAAGGAGTAGTGACGTCCCAGGACGGCATTAACGGCCAGTCGATTCAGACGTTACTGAGGGAGTAATAACGACTCGAAGTAATCAGATGAAATTCAGGCTACCCTAGCCCCGAAACAATAGACCGTTTTCACATGACGTCACGGCGGCCATATTGGTGTTCCAAAACAATGAAACGGCGGCCATGTTGGTGTACCAAGAAAATCCTCTGGGAGTTGAACTCTTTTCTCATGTAAATGCTTTCTTTTGTTCCAATGAATTAGCACAGATGCTGACCACGTGAGTGAAAACGCTCTATACAGCTTCAATAGCTTCCTAAGAGCGACTGCAATTAGAAAAGGATCTTGAAAAAATGTGTGGCTCCCAGCTTCTTAGGAAGGGAT